AGGTTAAGCTCCTCACCATCTCTCAGTACTACTCCAATTACAACCATTAACTACTAGCCCCCCTCCCTAGTCACACTTGGCAGATGCAAATCAAGCAAACTCCCATTGACTGCTATGCTTTGTACATTAACAATTGTTGGTTAATGCAGGTTCTGACAAGCTGTTTGACAGACCTGTCCTCCATGAATTTATCCAACCCCCTTTTGAGCAATCCAAATAAATGGCAATCATCACATTTTGTGTTTATGAATTCCACAAATTAATTATATCCTGTGTAAAGAAGTGCTTTCTTTTGCCTGTTCTAAAACGTCTTCCAGACAGCTTCATTGGTCCTAGTGTTTTGAGACAGGAAGAAAAACTTCCTTCCTGCCACATACAATATTATACACCTCAATCATGCCTTTCTCCCTCAGGAGACTTTTCTTCAAGTAAAAGAGTCCCAAATGTTCTAGCTTTTTCTTATAAGAGAGTGTTCAACCCCCTTAATAATTTTGGTGGCCTCCTTCTGCACTTTTTTCAAATGTGGCTACCAGAACCGTATTCCATTTGTGGACATGCTACAGAGTTGTATAAAGGAGATTACAATGTTGGGTGTTCTATTTTCAGTCTCTTTCCTAAAGATCCCTAGCATGGAATTTGCCCTTTCTGCAGCTGCCACAGGTTGAATGGACATCTTCATTGAGGTAGCAATCATGACTGCAAAATCTTTTTCCCAGTTACAAACAGCTTAGACCCAATCAGTGTATATGGAAAGTGGCAGTGGTGGTGTGGTGTTTCTTCCTTAAATTGAACAATATTTGTCATTTAGTTGCAATGTGCCCAATTTAAAAGATCCTTCTGGAGACCTTCACAATCACCTTTGATTTTTATCACCCTGAGAAGTTTAGTATCATCCAGAAATTTGACTAGCTCACTGCTTAATCCTTAGTAAAGATCATAAATGAACAAGTTAAAAACAGGTTGTTTAGGGACTCCCCTTCTTACTTCTCACCATTGAGAAAATTGAGCATTTATTCATACTTTTGCTTTTTAAAAAACTAATTAACAGCTCATAAAAGGACAGTTCATCTTATACTACGTCCTCTAAGTTTACTCAAGAACGTTTGATGAATAATTTTGTCAAACATTTTTTTAGAAATCCAAGTATACAATGTCAACAAAGTCTTCTCCATCTCCTTGTTTGTTAACAGTCTCAAATAGGCAGGGTACAAACAGCATAAAATACAATATAAAGTCACATACATACAATACACTGGGGAGAAAAATCCAT